ACCATTCTGACCTTCCTCAGCGGGCATGTCCCCAAGATGATTAGTATAGTGATTTTCCCCATATGAACGACCTCGTTTCTATTGAACATGTACAAAGATGTTACGACCTCCTTCAACTCTATATCCAATTCTAACTATCTATAACAATAGTAAAACATCACGTGCACCGAGCTTCCTGTATCAATAAAAACCCTCTTCACATCATACACAACTACCTCAGTTGTGATCACCAACGCGTCATTGTAGGGTACATGCAATCCTTGGGCGTCTTCAGCTAAAAAAATTATGACCGGAGCTCGAGCAGCTATATTGACCTCTTCATTTTTCTTCTTGGTAGCTTGAGCATGCTCTTTTCTTGCATTTTGAAGTTCATATTTGTGGAACCTCCAAAAATCATATGGATGACCCCCCTCTTCTGTGGGGCCTTATCCTCCTCACAATCTCGACCATCTCTTTCTCGACCTTGCTTGTCTTATCCCTTTGGCCACCACGCTCTTCTCTATCACCGTCCTCATCCCTATCCTCATTATCTAGTGAGTCCTGAAATCATCTCTTTTGCTTCTTCTTCTCCATGTCGTGGTACACAAATACCTTCAAGTGCCCAGCTCGAATCAATCTCTCAATCTCATCCTTGAGGTGCCAGCAGTTTTTCGTCGTGTGGTCGTAGTCCATGTGGAACCTGCAATATCTGTTCGAAGTTGGTTGCGTCGGTCTTTCCTTTATTGACCTTGGCCACGCCTTTGCTCGACAATCAATTCTCTGCTTGATCGATTCGAGCACTCTGCCATTTGAGTTTTTAGATTGTGTAATTCCATACCTCTGACTATTTTTTAGTGATCGATCCTGCCACATGTCTTCTCTCCACCTCTCCGACCTGCCTTGCTTGTCTTTCTTTGGTGAATGGTTCATCTCCTTCTTTGGCTAAGGTCGAGCCAATTGCTCCAACTTCGCGAACTCTTCTCCCGTCTCCTCCATATTGACATATTTTTTTACATTTTTTCAATGCCTCGTCATAGGTTTGAGTTGGCTTCTTGGTTAGAGTGATTCAACAAGGGCTAGCTCAAAAGCTCTCAGACCTCCCGCTTTGACCTCATATGAGGCCGGTGGAACTTTCACGCCCCATCTAGTTGTACCTCGCCACATATTTCCTCAAAGACTCATCGTATTCTTGCCTCATCGCCATCCATGTTAGGTATATTTTCTTCTGAGTTATCACACTAACATACTGATTCAAAAATAAGCTCAAAAGTCCTCAAAATCGCTCACCGACCCTGGGTGGAATTGGTGAAACCAATCCTGAGCACTTCTCCTCAAGGTCGATAAGAACGCTCTGCAGCTCACATCATCCGAATACCCATGCAAAACCGCCATATTCTTAAATGATCGTGCATGCCTCGACATATTTGTCGACCCGTCGTACGTTAAACTAATCTCTTGAAATTTGTTCGGCAACACCGCATCAGAGATCTCCCTAGAGAAGAGGTGTCCTCGAGCTCGACCCACTAGCTTTCCATTCACTTTCACTTGCGACTAACGAATTTGCTCCACCGTCCACTCTACAGCTCGATCCATTTGAGTGCTTCCTTATCTATAGCTCGACTTGTCTATCTCTATTTTTTGTTGGTTCGTCCCCACCCCTGTGGTTGGCGCGGTGGTGGCGTGAGACGTATGATGAGTAGCTTGTTGAACTGCAATCATCATCACTGCATTGGCCTGCTCGGCCTCACTCCTTGACGGCATGAGTGGCGATTGGACTATATCTGGTTGCATCTACACCAAAATCACTTCTCATTAGGTCGTTTGAGCCTCTTGCACTTGGCTCGAGATGGAAACTGCAACATGGGCCACCGATGAGCTCTTTAAGCCTGTAGGACGAGGCATCAAAGCCAACAATGTTTGAAAATCCCCAGTGGTAGGCCTGCTCCGAAGGACGTGTGTTCAGCCATGCATCATCAAACGCCATTTCCAAGTTCTTCCTGGGACTCTCGTCTGCCATGGCTATGGTGTTTCACTGTTTTTTGAACGAAAGTTCTCACAGACAGAGCCAAAATGAAACGCAAATACCTCTGACCTGCTGGAGACATCCTGATCTCGAGCTCCTCCCCGATTGAATGCCTTCGGACCTACAAGAACTCTCATAATATTCCTTCTTATCCTTTAGTCTTCCTCATTAGACGGTCTAACCGTGCGATCGACCTCGATTACCTCGAGGTAGAGTGCCACCGATATCGAGCTCTACTGCTCTGCCCGTCTGGTCGATCCTTCGACCAGATGTACCTTTAGGTCGAACTCCAATTAGACCATCCAAGAGCCCTAATTCGACCTGCTGGTGTTCTCCGTATCCTTAACGTCCTCTTCGACATGAGGATCATTCGACCTGTGAAGTCTTCTTTCTCCATTCGACTTGATAGTTCGACCTGATAGTTCATCCAATTCGATTATGCCGTTTCCTAGTCCTAAACGACCTAGTACGGTTATCCCTACAAATATGCATTTTTAATAATTAATTACAATGCACATAAAGCAACTATTTAATTAAAATAATTAATTCTACAAAATAATCAACTAATTAATTATCATGCATATTGGACAATTAATGTGCACATCCCATAAATATATATTACGCACATAAAATATAAACATCCCATAAATAAATACAAAATGCACATTAAATAATTAATAGCAATAAACATGAAAATAAATAAAGGCAAAGTTGTATATTAATACACCACCTTTCATGTTATTGAAATTTAACCACTACCTCTGTAATTTGTTAATTTTATGCATCACATTACCATATTTGCAAATCGAATCGTGATTGACGACTCCGATACTGTAACTGGAGTTGTCAATCATGATTCAATTTAATATAGTAAATGTGGTGTATTAAATTGCTAAATCATAAAGATTGTGATTAAATTGTAAAAACATGAAAGGTGGTGCGTTATTGTCCAATTTTGCCTTAAAACTATGTGAGTTGATGAATAATAAATTAAAATTAATGTTACGTGTAAGTATAACTAAATATTATTGACTTTTTAGTATTATATTATATAAATATTATTATAAATATTAGATAGGTAGTGAGATAATTGAGTCTACACGTGTTCGCATCATTTTCTCTCTCTTTTAAAGCTCAGCAAAGGTAAATTCAAAAGGAGAAAAGAAAATATAAAATCAAGGCAGCGTAATTGTTATTTCCGAGTCTACTTTGAGCCCTTTTCAGTTGATAATGTAAGAAACTTTACTTGTTTTATGTGATACACTTTGAAAAGATCTGTCGTTTGATGGAACAGTAAATAACCCATCTTCTTCTTCTTCTTCGAAAGCTGCAGTTTGGTGCTCTGTCGGGAATTTGTTGAAAAAAAAAAAATTGATTTGTAATCGTTTTAGGCGAGATTTGTTGGAAAAAAGATTGGGATTTGCTTGGTATGTTTTGAAGAAGCAAAAGAGAGAGAGAGAGAGAGAGAGAGAGAGAGAGAGAGAGAGAGAGAACTTCGAGAGGCTGAGAAGGGTTACCTCAGATCCACGAAATACAAATTACATGTGTCAAAAAGTTGAGGTTTTCCTTACGAATCTTGAGCTTTTTAGTTTTCCTTTTTCCTAGGTTCTTTCTTGGTTTCTCTTCTTTCTTGCAGATAAGGTAGTTTATCTCTTTCTCTTTTTGTCATGTTCTATACCGTCTTGCCTATATATATGTAAGGTTTGTCATTAGAATGTGATTTGGTATTCTTGGTGTTGGCTATTTTCTGGGAAGGCATCGATTTGGAAATTTTAGATGCCAAAGTTGTAGAACTTGAATTTATTGAAAGATACATGATAAAAATCCAAGATTGTTGCACCTTTATCTGATTTCAATAGATCCCATGATGTCCTTACATATGTATCAAATGTGATGCTGATACTAGGTGGAGTGTTTTCTTTGATAACTGGTGTATTTGGATCTTTGATCTTGTGGTGGTCCCTTTTTTTTTCCGCCTTTTGCAGTATTTTCCTGTCAATTGCCCCTTCAGAAGTAATCTTAGTACGGTTTTTCAGTCGAAAGTTTGTATTTTGTAGTTGAGATGAAATAGCTGAAACGTAATTTGACTGAATGAATCCTAATAAAATTGACGGGGTATTTAAGTATTTGTTTTAAGTCGTACGAATGATGGAAGAAATATCTTCTCTGGGGGTCACGCTTGGCTTAGCGACTTCTCTGTGCGAAAATCCGGGAATTTCAAGCCAGTTAGAAATCACGCGACTCAACCTAGTGGCACAAACAGCTACCTTGCTTGGAGGAAGTGAACTAATACCCCTCCATACTAGTTTAGATGGAAGCTTGCCGGCTTCTGTTGAGATTGAGGATAGTGAAAATAGCAAGATTCTTCGAGATGAAAGAATCATACGGATGATAATATCCACCGATGACTGTCCTAATGGTCTTACTTTAGAAGATTCCTTAGTTTCTATGCCGTTGCTAAAAGATAGCGGGCCCACCAAAGTAGGGGTTGCTAAGAGTGTTTTTGAATTGGATTGTGTCCCGCTTTGGGGCTCGGTTTCTGTTTGCGGCCACCGATTGGAGATGGAGGATGCTGTTATGGTCAAACCTAATTTCATGAAGATACCGATCAAGATGTTTGCCGATGAGCTGGGGATTAATGGGATAAGTTGGACTTTAAGTCATCTACGTTCTCATTTCTTTGGGGTTTATGATGGGCATGGTGGATCTCAGGTATATAGTCATATGGTTTATTGTTAGTTATGCGCATGTTCACTTTCCCATTCTGATATATTAAGTGGCATAAAAAACGAAAACGAGTATTGCTAGGTTTTAAGTAACTTTCTCTAAGTTCCTTTTGTTCCTTTTAGAGCATCGAAAAACTCCTCTGGATGTTCAATTACAAGAGCGTCGTGTCATTATTGAAATTGCATTAGAAATTGCTTTCCCATTTGAGGGTGCATTTTGCAAATACAGGGATATTTTATATCTTGAGAGATTTGTCGGAAATTGTTAGCTCGACCAAATCTCTAAGTTCATTTTTTTCTTCCGAGCCTTTAATATGTTTTTGCACTCAGCTAATTTATTCTCAATTATTCATTTTCACAGGTTGCAGATTACTGTCGAGATCGTCTTCACGGGGCTTTGGCTGAGGCGTTAAATAATCATGAAAACGAAACAGCGAATGGAATCAAGAACACTAGGCAGGCACAGTGGGAAAAAGTGTTCAAGAGCTGCTTTCTGAAAGTCGATGAAGAAATAGTAGGAGATGGAATCAATGATCCTATTGCACCCCAAACCGTTGGATCAACGGCTGTTGTTGCAGTTGTATGTTCGTCCCATATCATAGTTGCCAACTGTGGGGATTCGAGGGCTGTCCTTTACCGTGGTAAAGAGGCTATTCCATTATCTGTCGATCACAAAGTGAGCTGATTTCTTTTTTAAATGCACTCACGGTTTACTCTAATTACCAAGGACCTAAGCCATCTTTCTTGGGGGAATTATCTGTAATAGCTATTGGAGAATTTTTAAACGTAATAGGAATTTTGGTCTATTGATCTCTATTGAGGTTCATATTTTAGCTAAAATATTGTTGTTTTGTGTTGTTTTGAACAATTTGGCAGCCAACAAGGGAGGATGAATATGGTAGGATCATGGGTTGTGGTGGCATGATCATGCAGTGGAACGGACTCAGAGTTCTTGGTGTCCTTGCAATGTCGAGGTCTATTGGTAGGTTTGCTTCTTTTCTGATACATTGTCAATAATCAAACTGATTCTAGGGGCATTTTGGCAAATCCACTCCAAGTAGTCTTTTGTTTTTTTTTTAAAAAAAGGATATTGAATGTGAACTCTCAACAGTGTTTATGGTATAATGAAAACTAAACCATTTAACACTGCCTTTTTTTCTTTTTTCTTTTTTTTTTTTTTCTCAGGAGACAAATATATGAAGCCATGGATTATACCCGACCCGGAGGTGATAGTTGTGCCACGGGCCAAAGAAGACGAGTGCCTCGTCCTAGCCTCTGACGGGCTGTGGGATGTAATGTCAAATGAGGAAGCATGCCAAGTGGCTAGAAAACGCATCCTAATATGGCATAAAAAGAACGGCACCAATCCAATAGAAAACCGAGGCCAAGGGGTAGATCCTGCGGCTCAGGACGCAGCCGAGTACCTATGCAACCTCGCCCTTCAACAAGGGACCAGAGATAATATTTCTGTAATAGTCGTCGATTTGAAGTCCAGAAGGAAGTTCAAGAACAAGCCTTGAACGAGCAAATGTGTCTTTTTTTTTGTGTTTTTCTATGTTTTGTGCGTTTTTATTCTCTTTCATTGTCACATGAACACGCCCATTCGTTTTTCTCGTGGACTTCAAGGGTTCTGTGTATGATGGTAACCATGCACAACATACACGTATGAGAAACGAGAAATGAAACGAGTTGCACGATATTGTGTCTAGTTTTGCTCTTATCGCCTATCGACTTGCAACAAAGTTATAAGATGCCATATGGATCTTATAACTACGCAAAGTTTTTGGGAGCTTATGCAACTCTTATTATCAGTGATATTTTTTAGAGGTAACCAGCAAACTCGATCACGAATATGCAAACAAACAGCCAAACTAAACATGCCACATATCACTAGAATGAAATGAAATGGCAGCAAAAAGCAAAATATATAATTTTGAACCAGATCATGAAAAAAAGAACACCCTATTTGAAAGGTGAAACCAAATGTAGTCAAACTAAACAAACAAATACCAACTGTACCACCAAAACAGTCGAAACCAAACCCGACCATAGTTATCCATCCATTCACAGTTTCAACACTAGTTAAGCATACGCAACACGTCAAACAAGAAACAATAAACCTAATTGGCCAGGACGAATATAAACTGAGCTCTATCTTTCTTTTTTGTCACCAACATTTACGGGCGTGCCCTCTTGTTGGTGCTGCATGAGGGGCATTTGTACTGCTTGATGTGCTCAGCCCGTGCAGGGGTAATCTTGACACACTTGCCGTGAAACCACTTCTCGCATATGTCACAGCATATCCAGAATGTGTCGTCCGAAGCATAGTTGTCCCCACATGCGCCGCACAACGTGTCCCCATGCTCGTCATCTTCTTCCTCTTCCTCGTTTTCTTCTTCCTCGTGCTCATCCAAGTCCTCATCCTCGTCTTTAGGCTGTGGCTGCTTCGGAATCTTCGGCTGAGTTTCAGATGCTCGCTAGTGACAGTAAAATAAGAAAAAGGATGATGAAAAGAAACTATCCTTGATGCATAGCCTAATTAGAATGTCTATTCTTTTTAGTGTCACACAAATGGAGAAACTTTGGAGAATTGGATGCACCTATTTCGTAGAAGTGAAAATTCCCGAGTTTTTCATAATTAGCCAAACCCCAATTTTTTTCTATTGTCATTAATAAATACAAGTATACCCCTTTATGGTATAACAAACACACATGTTCTCTATAGGGTATAATTTATAAAATTAATATTTGTCAATTTGGTATATATCGAATTTAAATTTAATAGTGTTTTTTGTTAAAAAAATAGAGAATAAGATATTGGATCAGATTTACATTGATTGCTGAGTGGAAAGTTATGCTGCTAGAAATAAAGGGGATAAGTGCGTAAAAAATAAAATAACCAGCTGAGAACCCATTTCCATACTGATTTGGAGTTCGACTTAGACTTGCTGCTACTGTGATTTGAGACTGAAGATTTCTCTTTCTGCTGCTTCTTGGCTGCACCAGTCACGACTTCAAACACAGTAGGGAGGTCATTGATCATGTTGAATAGTCGCTTCCTGCACCAAGTGCAAAGGCCATTATACAAGTACAAAACTTCAACATAAGTTCAAGCAAGTTACACGGGGAAAGGTATCACTAATATCAGGTAAATGTAAAGTGCATGAATCATATGCGTCTGCATAGTTGACTAGTTGGTTTCAATGAACATGAATCCAAAACCAACAAACTTCCTAAAAACTAACCACAACCACAGCCATACAAGAAACAAGAGATGATAAGCAATTTTTTTGCCTGTGACAGTGTGACTATTTGTTTTTACATATTACATACAAACTTGAAGATAAAAAATCACTTGCAGTATTGTTTTTTAAAATTAATACTCCCTCCTATTTTTTTTAAATGTCATTCTAGCTTTATCAACTATTTGCCAAATAAATGTCATTTTGGATTTTTTGTACATATTTTCCCATTATTACCCTTATTTAGCCAATAAATACATTACGTCTTTTCATATTCATTCTTCACTTTTTCTCAAAACATTCATCTCTATCTTCATTAAATAAGGTTATTATTGACAAAAAAAATATTCTTAATTAGTGTGCAACTTCTCAAAACGACATATATTAAAAATAGGAGGTAGTATTATTATCATTTTTCTTTATCCATGTGTGGGTGTGTTCATGAAAATATTCAGTAATACAGGCTTGTACAACAAATAGCAACAATCATAAAGGTAATTTGTGAAAGAAGTAAGAAAACAAGTTAAATATACCTGTCACTTTTATCAAATTTAAATCTAGCACCAAAATAGAAGGCAACAGCAAGCAGCCAAGTATCACTGTGGACAGCAACTAGTGATAGCCAGTCTTTTTCTTGCATTCCGTCTCTAGCAAAGTTGATGCCCAGAGCAGGCTCAGGGAGTTCAGGAGGTACTTCCTCAGCTGGCAAATTCACCTCCCATTGCTCGCTAGGAAATCCATACAAGCATAGATTCTCTTTCTCTGCAACCCAAACAATTATGAATAAGTTAGTACTATCCACGTTACGTACATCATACACCGACAGAGGTTCAATGCATCTTATATGTTTTATCTTAAAACAATTAAAAAGTTCACAACTCATAGATTTATTGCCAGAGAGCTAACCAATATCAAAAAGGAAACATGCTTAGAGTAGGGTGAGGAAAAACATACTTAAACAAGGATGATCTAACCGAACAAAAGCAATTTACACTAGAGATAAAGAGTTCAACAGAAAGACTTGAGTATTGCTTGCGAACTAAATCATAGAGCATTAAGCTTATATGTCCAACATAAATGGTTATCGTACAGCAACATGTTAATATGTTATACAAATTTCTCAAGAACAGTAATCTGTATATATATGCAATATCTCCAACATTCTTTGCTCAAACAAAACTAAGACCTGTGGGCATTCACTATGGCACGATGTCTACAAATGCTAGAAACAGCTTTCGACCTCTATGGAAGATAGGACAAAAAGTATAACTGCCAACACAACCATTGTCAAAGGTTTCAATAAGACAGTAAACCTAGTGGCATCCAATGGGCATATATATAAGTGTTCACCAAAAACTAAAGGGAATCAAATTCCATGTAAATTTTCAACCACCAACCTAGATGCCAGACTCGTCACCTGTGAAATATCTTATATAAAACAGCATAAACTTGACGAGGAATAGCAAAGGAAACATCAATTAGTCCCAGACGATTTAATAAGAATAAGATATAGAAAAATGGGACAAAGAAAGTGAATATATAGTCGCCAACTTGTCTGTTTCATTGGCATTGACAAGTAAATTTCCATTTGTACTCCCTTAAGTATATTTAAAATATCATCAAGCAAAGATAATGATGCTCAAATTTTAAATTTAAGTAAGTACCAAAACTAAACAAGATAATTTTTTTAACAAAAAACAATTCATTAACCAGTAAACGCAAGATACCAAAATGGTACATGTTACATCTCATTATATCAACTCCAAAAAAACATGCAACGAATCACGCTAAATACAATGCAACTAAGTTTACGCGTTCAATTTTGCAGCTGAGACTCATAATAAAGGACCCACACGATGACAGTCGACGAGGGTAGTAAATGCCTTATTATCTTTCTATCCACATTATAATCATTACACGCAAGACACGATTTGGCATACACATAAATTTGCGTTGCTCTTGTTCAAATTATTCACTCAATAAATAAGAAAACCAAAACTGATAAGCAAATACTACCCCCCCAAAAAAAAAAAAAAATTAATATCCTTACATTCTAAATCGTAACAAACTTGATTCATCCTGAATATATTGTAAAAAATGCTCAGTCTAAAGAGGAAAAAATTTAAACAATATTTCTCTGAACTACTATGGAATAAACTTCAAACATTTACCAAAAATCACAAATAGCAAAAATTTAGGAGCAAACAAACTCGTGAACAAAAAAAAAGAATACCAGGATCGCACTGCTGGTAAAATTCTTCAACATCTGCAAAAACAAAAAAGCCACATATTAGGAAACAAGAAACGAGAACGTAAGAAGAACATACAGAAAATGACCAGCAACAGAGAAAGGAGAACAAAAATAAAAAATGGAGAAGAAGAAGAAGAAGAGGAAGATAACCTGTAGTAAGGGCTTTGACAATTCCAGCTCTTCGACCCTTAAAATCCCTAAAAACTTCTTCAACAGTTCGAGGATTGTATCCGCCCTCCATTGATGTTGCTTGTCTGTTTATCTGCAGCTCAATTTTGCTGAAACCCAAAGAATCCCGGCAACAATGTCTATGGAGGTTTAGGAGTACGAAATAAATAAAAATGGAGAAAATGATTATTTAAGAGAGAGAGAGAGAGAGAGAGGCGGATTTGAATCTGACGAAGATGGACGGGTTAACTATATTTGAGAATTGGGTCATGTGTCCGACAAATCCCCAAAATCATTCAATATTTCTTCATAGGCCCTTCTTCTTTCTCATATTTTCATCTTTCCGGCCCGCTTGAATATAATCTGAAGAATTGTGGTCCTATTTGCAATTAGTGGATACCTAATGATGATGAGAATTAACTCACCGATTTCTTGGATATTTCATGGGTTTAACGGTTTGGTTAGATGATTTTAACGGTTGTGTAAAGATTATTATTATTAATTTTTTTTTTTTTTTTTGAGTGTGAAGATTATTTAATAGCTTACATTCCAATATTGTGCATCTTAAACTGTTAATTCAATATGTTATTAACAGAGTAATTTATGTATGAGCTTGTGCTCACTTAAATGGTATGCTCGACTTGGTTCGTTTAATAAATAAGCTCGATAAATTATTCAATAAATAAGCTCGATGAATTATTCAAGCTTCACTCAAACCTGAGCTTACACAAATTCAAGCTATAATTGTTTATGAACTCTTCAATTCGAAAAAACAAATTAGATTGAACGTTTCATGAATATGAACATTTTGATTTTGCAATAATAAGAGGAGTTTATGTGTTACTTAGTACTCCAAGATTACTGTAACCATCAAACCGTGATACACTAATTTTGAAATGCTCCCGAATTTGAAACCAATTCAGAAGTAAAATCTTCTGTAAATTAGCAAAGACTCGTACAACACAATAGTTGATCAGCCACGCATTGGATCTCATCTTTATGTCAAAACTTATTTTGTTTTTATTAAATTTGTTGAGTGGTCAAATGAACGAACGACACACTGAATAGAGAATAATAAGGACTAAACAGTTAGATAATTTACTCATTTGATTGTGTATGTTCGTACTACTCGTGACAAATCTGATAGGTAGGTTGATCGTTCTTTAAAGAGGGCGGAGCGATCCTCTACTTTCACAATTCTAATTACTTAAGGCACATAACTAGCTTGGATAACTAAGGTTGGCTGGCCTAGTATAATCAAGTTTGTAAGAAACTGGGGTAAAAACAAGTGTGGTCCCACTAACATGAAGCGCACCAACGCGAGAAAAGCCCATTAGACTTATAAGGTGGGTCTATTTTCCATGTATGAACGATGATATTCTAAGACGCCCCTCACTTGTGAGTCATTCGAAAGCCCAAGCCCAACTAAGTTGGGTGCCCCAAGCCTACTAGAAGCAGACTCCCATAAACGGGTACATGGGAAAGCAGACTCCCATAAATAGGGTACATCATCGCACGGTCTCAATAGAACCGGCTCTGATACCATGTAGGAAACTGAAGGAAAAATGGGTGCGGTCCCACTAACATGAAGCGCACCAAAGCGGGGAATGCCCATATGAAGCCCAAGTGGGGTTCCATCCCAAAACTAATTGGTGAAGGAGAAATAGCCCATTAGACTTATAAGGTGAGTCTATTTTCCATGTATGAACGATGTAGGGCAACTCACAAATGATATTCTAACAAAGTTAAACTCTTAGGTGTGTCTATAGTTCTATAATCAAATTAAACTCCTAGGCTTGTCTATTGAGTTGAAAAAAAAAAAATCAGAACAAAACAATTTGAGCTCGAATTGGAATATATTGGAACATTATATGAGTTTCTTCGGTTATGAGTTTATGTTCAAATTTATGCATTTAATTCTTTCTTAAATAGTTGAGTTAAGTCCATGTTTGACTCATTTTAGAAACAAATTCAAATGGTATGACTAACAAACGGTTCAGTTGTTGAAATTTGTTCAAACTTTAATATTAAAACTTTTACAAATGAAAGTATATTTTCATCTCTTAGTCTTACAATATTTTTCACTAGAAGAATGTGATGAAATTCTAATGGAAAATTCCAATAAAAGTGTATTCTAATGAAATTTCAACGGCCATAACAATGGGTATTCCAATGCTATAATTTCGGTTGGAATTTTTCAATGAATTCCAACGGAATTTTTAACAAAAATATTCCGTTGTAATGAATTTTCTATTGAATTTTTTGTCGGATTTTGACGATTTTAACTGTATATTCCGGCCGGTTTGCCCTCCTCGGCGAAGGGGTAGTCTCGGCTAGGGGTCGTCCTTGACCGACCTGCCCTCCCCTGATGTTTCGCGACCCTGTCGCTCTGTGGACGGCCTGCGATTGGGGATCCGACTTTCGGTTGCGGACGGGGTGTCAATTGATGGTGGCGTCCCTCCCGATCTTCGAGTGGCCTGCTATTGAGGATATCCTCTTCGTCGCCGGCGATGCTCCAACTTCGATTTTCCCCTTGTCTGCGATTGCTGGGACCTGCTTTTCCGGCGGGGCTCCGCCTTTCAAGTGGGATTGGAACTCTGGTTGTCGGAAGTCTGTGGAGGTGTCGGGCGGAGCGCGCGTCCATGGGTGTGGCGGGATTTCGGTGGCTGTGGAGCGCCCGTTGTGGTTGTCGAGGTTGAGGGTCCGATTCTCTCTCACCCTCCCCTGTTCGGCTAGTGGTGTTAGGCGGCGGGGGACCAGGTTATATCGGGCTCGTCTAGTGGTGTTAGATGAGTTCGGGTGGGGCCAGTGTGGGGGTTGATGGTTACTCTCTTGGTTAAAGACGGGTCGACTCCGGGGATTGGTTCAGATTCAATTTATACTACTGTATAGGCGACTTGCAGATTCGGTAGCAGTTCTCTTTCTTGTGTCGATCGTTCACTGCTGGTTAGGCTAGTTCGTTCGTTGGGGAGGGCTCTGTTTGTTTTGTTTTATTTGTGTTGTCTTTTTTGTGTTTGTCTTTGTTTGTGTTTGTCTTTGTCTGTGTTTTAGGTTTAGGTCGTTAGCTCCGGTTTGCCCGAATGTAACCTTATCATCATGTTGGGATCGTACTTTCGAGCATTATCCCTTTGGGATCATTTTTATTTGTTTTTTTAGTTGTTGTTTTTAGTGGTTTTTTAATGCAGTTATGAGTTTGTTTTTCTAGCGTTGCTAACAGGTTCTAGGCGATCTTCGAATCCGTCCTCCCAATCTTTTAGGCCTTGGTTGTACATTCAGCTATTTGTTGCTCTCTTTTCGCACGTTGTGCGGTTTTGTTATATACTATCTCTATCGTTTAAAAAAAAAAAGTTGTACATTTTTCAACAGTTGAAATGTGGGTGAAAATAAAAGTTTCAAAAAAATTGTTTATTTCAATGGAAATTCTTACAGTAGAAAACCGTTGGATAATGACCGTTGGAATGATAAAATTCCATCTAAATGTCAATGAAAAATTCATTCCAATAGAATAATTCCGTTGGAATTTTTGTTGAAATCAATCTAATGGAAACTATACCATTAAAATATCCGTTAGAAATTTCCATTTGAATGTATTAGCTTAGAACTTTTTATTGGAATATGGCCTTTTTTTTATAGTGTTTATCAGCATATGGTAGTAAAAATTTGTCTCCAATGCTAGTCACTACTAGCCTTTATTAGCCATATTTTCATATCTTTGGCATCTCTACTTATTAATAAGGCATGTATAATAATAATAATAATAATAATAATAATAATAATAATAATAATAATAATAATAATAATAATAATAATAATAATAATAATTCTCAAATTCATTTTATAATAAAAATATTATTCTAAAATCTATTTTGTATTATTTGTGTTGTTATATCAAAATTTAATTTTTCTGGTTTTAATGAGTTCACGTATTTAAAATGAGCATGTGAAACACAATCCTAGCCATTAAATAGAGATCAAGATGTGTAGTCAAGATTTAACTTTTATTTTTTTATTTTAATTATTTAAATATTGTTTTGACCATTGACCATCGTCCGTTGACTCTTGCGTTGACCATTAAGTTATGGTGTTGACCGTTAACTCCGGCGTTGACCAGTAACCGCAGTATCATTATGTATAAAATAAATATACATTCAGCAGTATGCACATGATACGAATTAAATATGCTTTTAGTATAAATTGAATATACAATCTTTATGAACTAAATATGCACCATAATACCCAAGAGCGCTTGGATGAGATGACTTGGGTCTCTTCCAGCTTAACCAGTGGTCTCGTGTTCGAGCCCTGGGAATGCAGCAGTGTTAAAAACTCTTGAGGGAGAGCTTTGCCGCCCTTATGGTCCTACCCGGCTCGATTCTGGATTAGTCAGTTCCCCTGTGGATTCGGAAACCGGAAGGTCCATGTACCCAAAAAAAAAAAAATATATGCACCATAATATCAACTAAATATGCATTGTTTATGAAATTAAATATGCACTAAGTATTAATTAAATGAACATTTTGCGTGAACCAAATATGCAACAAATATATGCAGTTAAATGTGCATTTTATATAATTAATATAAATATATTAATTATTGTTTTACATTATATAATTAATGTAAATTTCAATAGATTAATATGAGACATTAATCTACACAAATAAATAGCTATGATTGAACCTTGCATGAACAAAATATAAATTTTTGATGATCTTATTTTGCATGAACCAAATATCCATAATGCACTAAATATGCATTATTATATAGTTAAATGAAATATAATAAATATGCTCTATGATGAACTAAATATGCATTTCATATGAACTAAATATGCATATATTACCTAAATATGAA